GGGGCTTAATGGCGTACTATTTGTTTCATCAGCTGTGCAAGGATGCGGTAATTTTTCCCCGTGTTGCAAAGTCCACTCATCCAAGATTTACAGAGGTGGAAAAAAATTGTCCAGAATTACAGTTTCAAGTATTTTTCAATATTTTGAGTAGGTACAACATTCATGTACTCAAAGCAAAAAAAACTGTCATGTTTATCGAATTATACAAGTTATTGTAAATTTTGGACTTAATTTGCGTAAAATATTTTTGCAAGGCAATTTCGAAAAGATTTTTTTGCTGAATGTCGCCTTTTACATTTTTCGTAATATTTTCGGCATTTACAGTAGGATCTTAAAGTATGTTAATCGATTTTCTTGTCTCTAGGAGACATTTTTTTTTGTTCCAGAGCTCATTAACTGTAAGTTCTTATCACCCTACCATACCACCCTTTATCAATAAATTAAAACTCTCCAAAAATTATTGCTGAATGTAAGTGTCACCGAAAAATTAAAAAAGGACTCCCAGCTTCGGCCTTATCAATAATGTGTGGAAGAATGAACCAACTGGTTGGACTTTGCCAGTGTGGGATCTGAGCGGGAAAATCCACTATCGATGAAATTTTCACAATTTCTGAAATCCTGGAGAAGACACTAAACATATATGCAAATCGACACACTACATCTCTTGGTTGATTTTAAAGCCGCTTCTGAGAGTACGAGTCCTAGTTAGGAAGGACCTCGCCGCGCCATTCGAGGCCAATCGAGGTTTTAGGCAACGTGACCCAGAGTCATGCAAAAATTTCAATCTCATCTTACAAAGCGTAATACCAGCTGCCATTCGGAATCGAATCGGTGGCGGTGAATGACGACAAGTATCTCGTTTTAGTAAGGTTCTTCGCGTACTTAGACGCACGTCGCATTTAGAAAGTTAAAATTTTGAAGTAATCACGTTTGAGTTACTGGGTCCCATTCATAGAAAGTGGCATTAAGCTTCGCCATGATTTTCAGTAAAAAAATATTGCGCTTCAGCTCACTCAATTAGTGTGAAAATGGAGTCCTAGCTTTGACTAACTTGTTATGCATGAGGCCCATTGTCACGCCGCGGTGCTCGTTACGTTTGATCAAGTTTTAATTCGCTGCGCTATGCCCAGTACTCACCGTCGCTAACGCGTAGGGGCCCGTAAATCTTGCGCAAAATCTTTCTCTCGAATAGTGTAAGGGCCGCCTCATCGACTTTCCAGTGTGTATCTTGGCTACAATAAGGTATTGGTCCGAGTCCATGTTTGGTCCTTGGAACGTACGTGCGTCTAAAACACTGGATCGATTCGGTTTCTCATTTTTCTTTTTCGATCTGAAGAGAGCCCAACGTCTTCATGGATGTTTGTATGCTGTCACCAAGTACTGCATACTACCGTGTTTCGGGCCCCGGCGAAGCCATTCCGGTATCGAACGTTTCGTGGTGAAGGCTGAACTTTCCGAATGTGGTACTAAAGATCCTTTCTTTTCCCACCCTAGCATTGAAGTCGCCAAGCACCGGGGATAACTAACACCGAATTTTTGCTCCTTTACGTTGCAGCAGTAAAACGTCAGAGGACGGTAATGTCAGCCATTGTCTTTTCAATGGCACCAACCAGGCGGGCAGAGGAACATTCCCCATTAATTTAGGTTTTCCAACCCAATTAGGTTTCTCCTTCTCACAATTAGCTCGCTTCCGAACTAGTCCCATACCCTCTTCAGTTATATTTTCGGATCTGATTTTTGAAGATTGTGCCTCTTTTGAAGATTGTGTGTGACGGGTTCTACGCAGCTGATACTGGAAGTCGTGAGTAGCTCTACTCCACTGAAGAAAGGCGATCAAAAAGTTTCACCATATGCGCGGACTTCTGCTCCCGGAAACAACTTTCAAAACCATTGGGGAAAATAAATAAAAGTATGAAACCGAAAGAAAATTTTACTACATACATATGTATATAATCAGTTTTGGATCCTTACATATTTCTCGTTAATTTAATATCTGTAAACAAGCGAAATGTATCCCTACCGATATTGATTAATTGATATTTTGTTAAAAAGTACTTTTAAGCTAGAAGCTGGTTCTAACGCAGACAAACATAAAAAGCTGTGCAGGAAAATGCCGAGCACACTTTAGATATATTAAATGCTAAAATCAGTGATGTATTTAAGAAAGAAGAAGAAGAAACTCATCCACCGCGAAGATATTAGAGCGGCGTAATTGTAGACTGTTCTACCTGTAAACGGGAACAATAGATGGTGCCTTGTTTCATCATGATATTAATGGCCGGTAACTCGGCCCATTGGTGGAAACCTAATACAAAAGTGGCCACGAACGTGTTTATTTTTAATATGACCAACAGAAAGCAGATCCAATTTTTCTTTTTCGGTTGCTAGTGCAATCTGGTCCTTTGGGAACACACGGGTTTGATCTAATTAAAATAAATTTTGGAAATTTGAATAAAAAATAGAGGATACACATTTGATGGAAAAATTACGACCTTAAACTTCAAGTAATAATAACTTTCAGTTTCTTATACTATTCAATTCTTTATCGATCGATAAATATGTACACATATATTTAATGCCTCTGTGTAGATGCAAGCGCTCTAAAATATGTACCCTTGTGTCAGTTTATTTCTTTTTAATTCATCTTCGCTTTTCTGTTGTATCTCCTTCGACATTAATCTTGGTGCATTAATATTCATGCATCGCCTTAATTATCCAAACACCAATGCTCTGTGGAAGATTTTTTAATTTACATTTTGCATTTACTCGCTGCTTTAGTCCAGTAATGAGCTTTTAATTGCCATTTGCATTGAAGGAGCATGGCAAATTTTGTGTCAAGTGTACTTGAAACTTGACTGACTGGGGGGAAAGAAATATAATCGAATGTTTTGAATAAATTGAGTGAGTGGTACTTAATTCTTGAATATTCAATTGATGACGAAATTCAGAGCTACTCAATTTATGTTTTATTTCGATTTAAAATCAGACTATGTATGCAAATATTTTGTATCACCATTTAGTTTCAAGCAACTAAGAAATATCAAAAGTTACCGATAAAGTGGCTAGATCTCTACTCTGAGGACCTCTGTGTCGCTCTAACTCTACTACCGAGAGAGTGTAAGGTATCTTACGGACCAGTAGCATCCCCGGTAACCAAATCATAACTATCCATGGAATAATAATAGTGTTTGGCCGAGATTCTCCAATAGCAATTGCTTAGTTTTTATTTGTAAGGCCCAATGAAAGTAAATCTTTTACTTCTACTCTCTGGTTGCCAGTGTCCCTATGTCATTGGATTTTCATCTTTGTCACAGCTTAAACTGTTAAAAATAAATTACGATGAGATGGAGCAAAATACTCTCCCAGGCTGGACTTTCACAATTGTTGCAATTTTTACAAAAATGAGATCCCTAGAAATCCACCTTACACTTAACTGTCATCGATTATGTTAATGCTGACCGTGTTTATCGCTCCTCAAAAGAATTAGCTATTGAATTTCAAATTTAAAAATGCAACCAGTAATGAAAGTTAAGTCTCAGATGGGTTCTAACATCAGAAAGTAGTTTTTGAATAAACTGCAGAACATTGAATATAAGCCCTCGATATGAAAAAAAATGTTTTTTAATTTTTTCCAAAAACTCACCTCAGATGATAGAAGAGTTTAAGTTTAAGAGGTCTGCATAAAGATTTTCAAAAATTGTTTCAGCAGAATAATTAAGAATTAATTATTTTTCCGGAATATTTTGGCGAAAGTCTGAAAATATAACAATTTTTGCAATTCCGGTGAACGAAAACACAACTTTTTGGGTGAGGCACCCTAATGTACATACATACATATATACATGTGTGTGTACATAAGGATGCATCCTTCCCATAAAAAAATAGTGCTGCTTTCCCTCGGAATCATAAAACTGATTATAATTTTACACTTTCACTAAATATTTCGGAAAAGTATGAAGATTTACTTGAGCTGAAATCTAGGTTTTTATTAATAAAATTATCATTTAAATTTTATTTTTTCAAAAACAACCTCAGATGAAAGAAGAGTTTAAGCTTAAAAGGTCAGCATACAATTTCTTTAAACAACACAATCAAAATACTGGTATTTTCGGAGGTAATTTCAAATCGGTCCAGCACAAGTTAATCTTAATATTTTTCCGAAATATTTTGGCGCAAGTCCAAAATTGCAATAAATTGTATAATTTCGGTGGAAAACGCGCAACTTTTTTTGGCGAGGCACCGTAATGTACATATGTACCGATTACCACGGTCACAGATATCACATATAAATTTTGGTCCCGATTGGAGACGGTTGAGGCGTGTCGGATAGGGGGCAAGATAAAGTCTATAGAGACTCAAAAAATTAAAATTATTATTTTTTTTTATCTAATACCCAAAATCGATGCTACCATAGATGGGAATATCACATATAAATTTTGGTCCCGATTGGAGTCGGTTAAGACGTATTCATAGGGTAATCTGAACTTTGACCCCTGTGCGACACGCCTTAACCGTCTCCATTCGGAACCAAAATTTATATGTGATATCTTCGACTACAGAAGCATCAAAGTAGGGGTTGAGGCTTAGGAAATCTGATGTAAAAATTTGCGTCCTACATTTAAGGACCACCCTAATGTACATAGTTATGAATGCGTAAAGCAAATGATAACTTATGAGTTATATGCAAAATACTCAACGCCTGACATAGTATCCCACAAACCCGGCCAACCAGCTAGTGATAGTTATACATATATAACGCTACAGTTAATTTACCTCAAGATAACATTGGTGCAGAAGTTTCCTTACCTTAAACGCCAAACCACAATTCTCTTCAGCTGCATTTGAACTCAGTTTTATTTTAATTAACAATCTTTCTCTTTTTTCCTTATTAACATGACCTTATTTCATCGACCTCGATGGCTTGACATTATGATTGCAATAACCTTCCGTTTTACTTACGTATAGATTTGTCATCAATCTACATGTACATGTAAGTGTGTATGTATTATATGTAATAACTGTATTATTGGCCAATTCACCTACGCCAACTCAATGCGCGCTACCATTACTCGCCGATGACAGAGGGCGTAGATTACTAACACATTCACCCAGCGCACCATCCTGATGAAATTGTATAAGTACCAGCTCATATGTCACAATCGTTCCAGCAACCTTAAAAGGATTGAATATACAGCAACAACAAAATCACTTCATGCATAATCACTTATAAGGATATATCATAAAAGAGGAAAAGGAGAACCAGAGCAATAATTGCTTAACTAGAATATGGTAAACTGATATATGAGCCAGCAGAATGTAAGCTCAAAGATAGCTGGCAATGGAATAAAATTGCTTGAGTTGAAGGAAAGAGAGGTCGAACTCTGTAAGTGCTTGCAAATATGCATGGAATGCAGGTGGTGGCATAGATACAGGAATGCGATGACTACAAACTATGCGCTGAAGCGAATTGTAAGTGTAGGTGGTAAAATGAGTGAATGGGTAATCTAATTGACGGTGTATTACTCGCAGCAGTACATATGTGAGTACACGTGACTGGTCATGAACAAACGACAGCGGAATGCAACTTACGCTCAGCACCAATTTCCTTGTGAGATAAAAGAATTTCATGCCACTTAATGCAACCAAATCACTGTTAATATCCTCCGAGAAACGTTTCACCTCAGTGCACCACGATTCCTTGGGTATGCAGCGTAGAACGCGCAACGGTTTGCGGGATTCATCATTGATGCTGGCCGAACACAATGAGACAGCCAATGTGCGACCGATAAGAAAGAAAAGCGAGAAGTAAAAGTAGACGAGTTGTGCGAACGAAGGCATTTTACTACATTGAAACGTGGGCGGAAAAGGAGACATGAAACGAAAATTGCCGGCTTTTATTCATGAGCAAAATAAATTGGACTAGAAGTATGCATGCAGTTAAAGTATACATATGTAAAGAGACTCACTTAAGGCTACGCAGCAGTTGCACACAAATAAAATACAAATTATTCGAAAAGGATATCATTGTGATGAGCGAAATGGCGCCATCAATGCGTGCGCAAAGCTCACAAAGGTTCCGGTATTGTTTGCGACGAGTCAACCAGAAGATCTCGGGCATTTGCTGTCTCGATGCGTGTGATATGCGAACAGACGGCAATGGCAGACAATTAAAAGTGACAGGCAATATTTGAGCGATTCAAAAAAAAAAATAAAGAATGCAATCCATAGACTAGAAAGTTTTTCTTACCATGCCCTTGAACTTGAATAAGTTATCATTGAGCTGCTTAAATTTTGCCGCCAATCCCAGACTGACAATCATCACAAACACATCCATAAAATTCCAAATGAAGGTGCATATAATATTCTCTAATTTTCCACAAATAGCTAAATACACAGAGTAAGGGAAGACATCAAAAATTTGCTGGTTGGTAAGAATAAAGTAATCCTTAATTGGGTCATCAGACTGCGGACAGGCATTGGAGTAGAGTATGTTGGAAATAATGTTCAGTAAATGCTCGGCTGATAAATGAAAAGAAAAAGTTGTAATTAGTTCATATTTACTTAAATAGTTATCTTTTATCTCTGCTACATACATACGAGCATATGTAAATGATGCATAGAGCTTCACACATATTTTTTATAAGAATTTATATTTTATATTCATACTTTATAGAAATACTGCATTTTCGTTTTAATACTTCATTAATTTTTTTTTACTCCGCTGGCAGAAAACCTTTGAACTTAAATAGGGAAAAATGAAATGTTGTATTTAAGTTTTTTTAAAAACTAAGTGTAATAGTACAAATGCTGTCGTCCGAAAAAATTTTAGTACCCAAGTGGCACAAAAACTTGGAACAAGCAAAAAAACAAAAGGTTGTATGATAGTGTAAAAGCCTTTTGAGTGTAATTAACAGTTTAAATGGCACTGTGGTTGTGGTTTATTTAATTATAGCTTTTTTTAAGAACGTTTTCCTCTCAGTGCGTGTACATGGCGTATGAGCAACTTTTTTGGTTTGTACATAAAGGTGTAGCCAGCTGTTCGTTGGAATTCGCATCACTTGAGTGTAGCAGCGCACAGTGGTTCAAAACTGGCATTTACTGTAATTCACTGGAGCCTTCATTTTTCACACAATTTGATTAATTTTTTTTTTAATGAAAGCTTATAAAATTTGCAAGAGACCAATTGATCGGGCTGAATTTTGAAGAAAGTCGATTCTCCTGTTCCAATTAATAAATGTTGCATAAGAAAAACAATTTGAAAACGAAAAAAATCCACAAAAATAAACTTAAATGTTAAATAAAAAAATTCATCTAGTTAGTTTTTATAGTTCCTAAAAAAATTTTGGTTTTGCAGTTTTACAGATCATGAACTTTTAGCATAGTAAATGCAAGTTTCAAGTAGCTAAAAGTTCGCGTTAATTTTTAATAATATATATAGTAAGAATGTAAACTACACAACATGCAAATATGATCGAACGGTTAGGGGAAAAAATTATTAAAAACCAACGCGAACTCTTAGCTACTCGAAATTTGCACTTTATTTATTTTTTTATTATTTAACGATCTATAAAACTGCATACCCCAAAATTTTTCTTCAACCTCAAAAAAAAATTCACTTTGTTGAAATTTTGTTTTTTAACATTTCAAATTTTTTGTTTTGGGGAACGCTCCAATTGTTTTCAACTAGATTTCATTATGTAACATTTACTAACTGGAACAGGAGAATCAATTTTCTTCAAAATTGCTACAATTTCAGCATTTTGCACTAATAATAGATAGATCATTAAAACATAAATATCAAAAAAAAAACATAAATATCAAATTGCTTGAAAAATGAAGGTCCCAGTGAATTATGAACATTCAATTCCAGCTTTTAACCACTGCGCAGGGTTGTTTGGGAAAAAAGAAAAAAATAGGATATTTCAGACTGCCTTAGAATCAAGAGATTTTTTCGACTTTATTTTTTTTCCAAGACTTGGTAAAACTATGTCCAAGCATTCCTTCGAAAGGGGTAAAAGAAACCAAGCTAGTGGTGCCATAAAAGGAAGCAGAGTAGAAGGAGTATACGATTCTCGGCAAGGCACGCTCTAAGGATCTTTAAAATGTGGAAGAAAATTCTGGGGTCAGTCGTTTACGAAGTGCTCTCGGTATATACAAAATGTTACCTAAGGAAGGCAGATCTTTCCACGTGAAGCCAAAAGACTTTAAAAAGAACAAGCTTTATCTCCTTCTTCTCGAAGACTCTTTGAGAAACTTTGGTATGGAACCTAAATCTACGGATTTCACTTCCCCTTTGGTGATCCGATGTTCACGCAGGTGCCTTTTCCGTCTGAGCATCAGTGCTGGATATTCTTCTAAGATGTGCTGTGCAGTCTCGATTTCCGTCCTGCAAAATCTGCATCGCTCATGCGAGTAAATTCTCAGTTTAGTCAGGTGATAGTTCAGCCTGCAGTGTGCTGTCAGGATTTCTGTAACAATTCTTAAGTTATTCTTTGATAAGCTCATACATTCCTTGAAGGGTTTTAGGTTATATGTACCTAAAAGTGCTTTGGACTGCTCTAGACCAGGAAGATTATCCCAGTAGAGATTTCTTTGAGCCTCTTCCTCTAACCGAACAAGGCAGAGAGTACCCGTTTTACCAAGCCCCAGAAGGGCTCTGGGCCGGTGAAAGGGGTTCATGCACCTTTCTTCGCTAGTTTATCGGCAATCTCGTTTCACTTAATACCAATGTATGCCGGAATCCAGAGAACTCAAACCTTATTGGTCATACCAAGAGTATTCAGCTTGTCGAGGCACTCCATCATCCGTTTAGATGTTACCTGGTGAAATATGAGGGCCTTGATAGCCCCTTGCCTGTCAGTCAAGATCGCGATGTTCTCGTTTCGGTAGTTTTGCTTGATATTATAAAAGGCGCATCTTTCTACGGCGTATGTTTCAGCCAGGAAAATAGACATATGTTTTCCCATGGGTTTCGAGTATCTTAACCTCGGTCCAACTACCGGTACCCTCGTCGGTCAATGAGCCATCAATGTACCAGGTAATCATGTTTCGGTTTATCCGAGATGCCTTTGACCCTCAAGGGACCTCGAACCTGACACTATGGAGGTTAACGGACCTCGTATTCGGGTTCAGCGAGTCTAAAACCCCATATATATGACTATTCAGGTTTACTCAATGCATTTTTCCTTACTTCACCCTCAAATGACCTCGAATCTAACGTGATGGGGGCTAACAGACCTCCGATTCGCATTCAGCGCGTCGAATAACATAGGGCCATAGAGGTCTGGTTCAATATGCAGGAGCTTTTTTTTTTGTAAACCTCTGTTATACTATGTCTCCATCAAGAGATTTATCTATAAAGATTTAAGAAATCAAGTTGCTAAATCACAACCGTCTCCATTGCCACAACGATCTATGTTTGACGTTCACATTTTTAAATATTTGACGTTTGCTTATGTATGATTTTATAAATACAGCTGCGGGCATTGATATACAGACCGATAAAAGGAAGGTACCCGAGCGGAATTTCATTATGTAAATTCTTAATATTATTGGCTTCTTATTCGTGGTAAATATGTATAATATATAGTTTGGAAAATGTAACTAATGGTACCATTTCGAGATTTAATTTAATATGGTAAATATCAAAAGAAGGCTAAATCTACATTAAATCTCATAATGGAGACATAGTATTATTAAAGCTAATGTTAAGTAAATTTAAATAAATAATATAGTACACGTGTCATTCTTTAATTCCACTTCACACCAACATTCACTCGCTGAGATGTTCAAGCCATCTTGAATGCTCATCTAACTCACCGAGTGACAACATCATGGCCACAATTGTCACTATTTTAATCCTGTACGCCAGACGTCCTTTTTCCATTTGCGTTAAATACTCCGGCAAATCGCTCTCCATCTCATCCCAGTACAACATCAATGCCGGCCATTTGCGCGCCAATACAATAGCGCTAATGCAAACCACAATGATGGACATGCGAAATATTAGTGGCTCTGCGTTAAAGTTCCATGCATGCATGTAGTACATACATACGTAAGTTAAAGATGGACGGTGTACGTAGAAAGTGATTCAACATTGAGACAATTCGAAGGGCAAAGAGCGACATTTGAAGTGTGGGGCGCGCGCAGGCATGACAAAGATAAATGTTTATATAATAAAGTTTCAATACAATTTCATTGCAATAAAGTTATAGGTTTCTTCCTTTTTTGTGTTTAGAAAAAAAAAATAACTAGCACAAGTAATAAAAACAGAGACATCCGAGTGTCAAGCGTAGTGCTTTATTTACTTGCAGCCACTTGAATTTATCAAATACCGTGGCCGTGGTTAGTTTCTGTCGATTCTGCCACCTTGCCTCCGTATGGCTTTCAGCCATCTTATCGCTTACTATTCGCTTGCTTATTCTATTACTTACCAACACTATTGAAGTTGATAGGTTTATATAGCAATTTGTTTATTGACAATCCCAAATCAATTGTAGTCGTCAGTATGAAAAGCAAACAATATAAAGTTCGTAGATTTGTCCAAGAGAACGACAATTGGCTGGGCTGTGATGCTGTGACTCCCTTGACTGGCATGAAAGCGAAAAACTCGGCAAAGAGAAAGACTGGTTGATGGATAGCATAAAGGTAAAGATGTATACATACATAAGAATTTGTTAGTTGATATAAGATAATTTATAGGTTTTATGTATGTCCCCGACCCCCTCTAAAATGGAGGGTAATATTTTTTATTGAAAACAGCAACTGACCGAAAGTCTGCGGAAAGGTGGTCTAGCACAGCCTGTATAAGAGGCATTCTTCGTGAGAGGCTTTGTGACTCTCCAAATTGGTTCAAGCAAAAACTATCGGTTAGAGACTTGAAAATTTGATAAAAATGTTTTTTACTTTTAAATGATGTTTGGTGTTTTTTCAAATTCAATATGGAGAAAAAATTTTTAAGATTTTATTGCATTCGCTCGTAATTATGAATCTGACCATGACTTTATAAAATTCAAAATGACGGATCCAATATGCTGAAAAAAATTTTTAAAAATGGATTGAATTGAACGACCAAGAAAAAACCCCGCGTAACAAATTTCAAGTTAATCAAAAAACGCCATCATCATTCAAAAGTTTAAAATTTTACCGAATTCTTCAAAATATAAATTTTTTTTACCATTTTGAAAGAGATAATAAGTTTTCAAAAACAGATCTGGTATATTGGAACTGCAATTTTTGATTTTAAAAATTTCGAAACACACGTAAGAATCGATATACTCACGAAACTATGCGACACATATGCATAGTAAAACTGCGGTTTTAGTTTTTCACACTCAAGTCAGGATTTTTTTTCAAGAGACTTTGAAATTTTAAAGATATGATTTATTTTAAAAAATATTTTAAAAAATCAGTGCAATGTAGAATAACAATATGGGTACCAAGTGAAAGAGAAAGTTCTGTATACAACATTTAAAAACAATAAAGTTTTTCGGTTTACAACGACGAACAGTTATTGAAAATGCGCTTTTAATAAATTTTACATTTTTAAGTTAATAAAATATGCAGGACGAAATTCGACGATACGGTCTGTTTATATTAGTCCTCGAGCAATAACTTTTTCATAAATGATCATTGAAAATTTTCAGGGGTATTTAGGGACAAAGTTTTTCAAGGACATTTTCCATACCCATTCTTCCTTATGCACCAAAAAATGCATTCTGTTATAATTCTACAGAATTTTGTCTTTTATATGATACCCATATTGTTATCCTAAATTTCACTGAATTTAGTAAGTAATTTTTTTAAATAATCATATTTTTTAAATTTCAAAGTGCTTTCAAAACAATCCTAACCTCAGAGCGAAAAACTAAGTATGTAGTTTTACTACAATTTGCCCATAGTTTCACAAATATATTAATTTTTTTCTGTGTAAAATTTGCTGTCGCACTCCAACATTTTTAGAAGATACTCCGCCATATTGGATTTTAAAAAACGCCACCATAATGAATAATTTAAAATGTTTACAGAATTTTCAAACAAATAACTGATTATTTTTTCAAATGTAGTAATTATTTGCTAGAAAATACAAATTTACTGGTTCCCACTTTTGCATCTCTCCGATTTAATGAATCCTAAAGGGGCCTTGATATTCGAATTCCTGATTGCAAAGGGTTTCACCTTTGCAGTTTCACAATAAATTAATTTTTGTCTAGCCAAAACAGTGACCCTTGTAGTCAGCTATTTAAGTTAAGTGATATTTGCACCAATTTTGGCTATTTTGCTTTTCTTTATTTAACGTTTAATATTTTTTATAAAATTCTGGCACATATATACATTAGACTGCATCACCAAAAAAAATTTGCGGTTTTTCCGCCGGGATTAAAAATTTATTATTAAAAATATTTCGGCAGTCTTATATATGTATACATATATGTATAACCAGCACCAAATAAATCCACATTTCAAACTGTACAAAAATTATAAAAATTCAATAAATTTTACAATTGCGCCCAAAAATTTACACATTTTTATTTCGAATTTTTGAAAATATTTTAGGTACAGCGTTACGAATTAAATCCAAGAATTTTAAAATTTTTATTCAGAATTTTTATAAAAACTTTAGGTATGCACTTTTATAGCGCATTAAATTTGAGTATGACGAAGTGCAAATTTCAAGACGCTAGAATATCGCTTTGATTTTTAATAGATCCTTTAATGACGGTGCTAGACATTTTCTTCTATATCCAGCACTCTACTATAAACACACCCTCGAACCCTTTTCGAGATTTAATCGGGCGCATTTTACTTGATACTTGCATCCGCCCTGTGCTCCGTCCTTGAACCGTCTGCGTATCAATGTACTTTGGTATCTGGGATCCATGGCAAGGTGTGGTGCGTTAAGGAGATAAGAACAGAGATGTAATGATTAGGCACTAGATCACGGGATACTTGCGGTCAATGAATTCCGGAAAAAAAAAAAAAAAATGTTCTCCTCGAGATAAGCGCATCGATATATCATACTTTGAGATTCGACTATAAATGTCAAATATATATTGGAAAATGCCCCTACGTTGGGCCAAACAAAAATTTAAGTTCTTTCGAAAAGCCTGCCATAAATACTTTGGACTCAGGGGTGTACGGCGAACTTTTTTTCTGGAACGGTCTAATGTATATAGTGCTTAATGTGCATATATTCACCTCTTCCTACCGCTTGATGAAAACTGCCATCGGGTTGAAACTTTTTCTTCTCCGACTTAGCTAAAACTTCTGTAATAAAAAAATCGGCGACATATTATATTAGCTACTACAATTATTCATATACACATGGCAATGTGTAATATGTAGTTAAATACATACACCAACTATCAAAATAAAAGCAGTGCAACATTTTGAGCATTTTTCGCTATTTGTTTTTTAGGAAATTTTATGTTTGATTATTAAGAAAGCGAATAACAAACACCGTCTAGATTCACATTTAAAACTTTGTACAACATTTATAATAAGTAATTAAAAAAAAAAGATTAAGACAAGCTTTTATAAATGTTTAATAAAAAGAAAAATCGACCCCTACAACACTTATTTAATAGCAAATTTTTTTGTGTGGTTACTTCTTTCTGTTTAAGTCATATGCTTTTCCAAATATGAACCAAATCGGACCATAAATACGGATTTCCGAATATCTCGACTCCTGCGCCACCTATCGGGCAAAATTTTTTGTGGAGTTATTTCATTTCCTACAAGTGGTATACATTTTAAATCAAAAATATCAACACCTGCGTCACCTAACGCATTAATGCCTCTATCGTATTGCATTTTCATAGGGTTCTGAGCTAAGTTTCAAGTTTCTAGCTCATCGGGAAGCTGGTCAAAAATGATTTTAAGATTTGATTACAGACAGATGTAGCAAAAACTGGTGAAAATTCAACAATTTTTATGATCTCATCTTTAGAAAATTATAAAGTATGCAGCTCTATAGCCTATTTATTTTTAATAAAATAAAGTGTATGTTTGAAGTGGCTATGATTCGCATTAATTTTTATTCATTTTTTTTGCGCGACCAAAAAAAATAATAAAATAAAAAATATTAAAAGCCAACGCGAATTCGCAGCCACTTCAAAAGTAAAAAAACTGAAATTTTGGTAAAGATTGTTTAAATTTTTATAATTTTTGTACAAAGCAAAAAAATGTGAATTATACATATAGTGTTTGTTATATAATTAAAAAGATTTCAAAAAATAAAAAATAAACATTAAATAAAGAAAATACAAATAGCCCAAACCGGGTCGACATTTGGCACTGCTATTATTTTCACCGTAGGTGTGCATGCATATGTATTTGTATACATATAGTTCACATATTCCAGTGGTGTTAATTAGTTGCTTACTTGGTGGTTTATCTATCTGCAGATGCAGCAGCTCCATTTGGGCAAGAAATTCGGTACACGTACGCTTAATTAGTAGAGCTTTGTGGTCACGCTGGGGCGTTGATGGTCCAAATAATGCGGCAACATTTGTGGCACTTTGGCTGTAAATTGGTAAGCTCATTATATTGAAACTTTGCGGGATTTGAAACGGTGTACATATTTATACATATGCCTGTGTGCATGCGTATGTATTTACATTAGGGTGGTCCAAAACAAGTCGGATTTTTAATGATATCACACCAAGGATTGTTCTATATCGACATAAAATATACAACCATTCTTTTATTTTGAAATAACCCCCCCATTCTTTTATTCTGAAATGCATTGCTGGCATTTTTGAAGACCTATAAAATATAGTTACTATGGAAAAAATTGTTAAATAAATAATTGGTATTCTTTTTGGGAATCCCAATAAGTTTTGATCAGGCGATTCCCAAAATATTACCCAATTATTTATTTAACAATTTTTTCCATAGTAACTATATTTTATAGGTCTTCAAAAATGCCAGCAAATGCAATGAGGAAAAAATAAAAAATCTTCCATATATGATAAATGGAAAATTATGAGCGCTTTAAGCGACATCTAAATATTTTTTGATTTCAAAAAAAAAAATAGGTGTATATTTTTTTGGTATAGAACAATCCTAGGTTGTGAGAGCATAAAGATTCCGACTTTATTTTTTCATATGCACTTTTGGGCCACCCTAATGTACATATGTATTATGTATGTACTTTGCAACAAGTGAACGAAAGTAAACTGTCGATAATTGCCAATTCATGCGCTATTATACAGCGTGCATACATATATACTTCTTACATATGTATGTATCTATGTATGATAATTTATATGAATTAAATATGTCAATTTTGAATTTAATTATGTAAGTAGAAACTCACTTAATCGGGTAAAACAAAATCATAAACTAAGTTTTTTTCAAATAAATATAGACAAAAATACTTTCTAAGACGCGAACGCTTAAAAATTTTTGCATACGAACGCAAATTGTGATTAACTTAATAATGGATTTGTGAAAACTAGGTCTATATTCGGCATTCATAGTTTCAAAATGATCGATTCATAAACAAATTTTTAACACTTATATGCGTACATACATACAAATGTATATAAAAATTTTATTATTTAAAAATCGTTAAATGATCGATTTTTAAACGATTATATAGTCACACCTATCATTTCGATTTGAAAGTTGAGCAATGCAAACACTGCTTTAGGTGCACTCACCTAAGCCGGCGCGTGCCGCCTTTGTCACACTGACGACGCCACATACGTTGGCTTTTGCGCATTTGCTGTTGTTGTTGCACGCGTAAACGAGCATCCGCAGTGACATTTCCGATCTTCCAACCGATTTTAAGTGCGAATTTCATAATTTGCCTTTAACACACGTACCGTTATGTGCGTTGACTTGTTCAAGTAAGTGATTTCATGCCACTAGACATCGAAAATGTTGTGGCTTTTAACTGCAGCTAGTGGCAGCATACTCGAATGACAACCGAAATACGAATGTAGAACAACGAATGTCAAATGTATATTTCAGCCATTAGTAATAATGAGGTATTTATGTGGAAACTCGTACGGACATGCATGCATACATGTGTTGCAACTTAGGTTTTTTTTTTGTTTTTGCCTATTTGTGTTTTGAAAGTTCACACGCAATCGACTTACTTACATACGTATGTAAAATGGGTGCAGATATGCTCCTAATTGTGTCACCTGGCAAATTCCCACGGTCCACGCTTCACGAAAGGTATATCAGAGCTCAAGCAATTAAGTTTACACACTGTTTGAGCAATTTTTCAAATAAAATACCTACTGACAAAACGAATTAAAGTNGGTCGTCCCATAGCCGCGTCGTTTAAATTTAGTTGAACGATCATTTGGGCCTATATAGGCGGCGTCAGGGGACTTGCTTCTGCAGTGTTGGTGTGATATTGACTGCGTGCGGGTGTACGTGTTTGTGTGAGCAAGACGCGTGCGTTTGTCGGCCGAGCATTTGCTTTCAATTATTCGCCGCAGCTGTGATGATTTATTTTTGGTTCCCGTCAGCCAAAATGTCAACCAGCGGAATATACAATGAAATTAAGGTAGACAAGAGCCAACAGCGGACGGGGAAGCTGGTAAGAGTTGGCGGCCGATGCTCTGAGGATGCCAAAGTAGCAGAGGAATGA